TATCAATTCCAAAACTAAACCTTCCACACACCTACGCCGAGGCACTACGCAGTGAACCTAGGCTGCCTACAGCTGCTACTGCCTCTGCTCAAATACCTCTAGCTCCTGAAACATCACATTGCAGAACAGCTTCTGAAGGTCCACGCAGTACAACGCTGTCCACCTTGATTCGCCTTGCGATTTCCACAGCACGGGAATTTATTTCCATCATGACGTTCCCAGGGGCGCGTACACTGCTGCAAATTCTCTCCTTCATTGAGCCACTTGTCGACAGCATTCTAAAATGAACCCAACTTATATATTTATTTTCCTAATAACAATTCAACATTTATCTTCATACACGTACAGCGTGGCAACACAGGTAAAGAATAAAGCCAAGCCGATCGTACCTACAGTTCTACAGTGGAACGCTCGTGGCCTTCGAACACGTCTCCCTGACCTCAGACAGCATCTCTTCCTGAATCCTTTTGACGTTCTTGCCATACAAGAGCCATTAACGCAACCTGGGGACTTTAGACTTTCACCATACGTGATTTACAGCAGTGCGCCGGCGCTAGTAAATGGACGAAGCCGAGCGCTACTGCTGGTGAAAGCTGGACTCTCGCATAACCACGTCGATCTCTCTGCGTTTTCCTCACACAGCGCAGAATACGTGGCCGCCACGATTCGCGTTCGTGGGGTGGAGTTCACAGTGGTGTCTGTGTACGTGGCTCTGGGTTCCACAGCCGACTGGGACGCAAGAATCTTGAGGGGCATAGCCCGTCAATGTCCCGGTAGACTTTTATTTTGCGGGGACTTCAACGCCCACAATACCACATGGGGTGACAATCGGACCACACCAAGGGGGTCAGCACTTGAGGAGGTTACCACCTCCCTTGGCCTGGAGGCCCTTAACGACGGCTCTGAAACATTTGTCCGTCAGGGTGTCCACGGCAGTGTTCTAGATCTGACCTTCGCACCACGGGACATTGCAGCCTCTTGGACAGTAATGGCAGACACGTGGGGGAGCGATCATGTCCCAATCATGGTAGTATCACCTCATACGAGAACCAGGAAGTACAAGAAGTACGAAGTTACACACTGGGATCTATTCCGCCAACATCTCAGCAAAGCCCTGGAACATGGACCAATGAACGATCTTGGCACAGCAATCACGAACGCCCTCAGCCTATCAACGAGAACAGTCAATTTGCCAATCCAAAGGCCTGCACCGGATTTGGAATACCTCAACTTGCGCGCTGCTCGCAGGAGAGCCCAGCGGAAAGCTCGCCGAACGAACATTGCAGCTGACTGGCAGCACCACCGGAAGATTGACGCGAAATTTCGCCGACATACGACACGACTTCAACGTAAGCAATGGAACCAGCTATGCGCCTCTTTCGCATCCCCACGAGGCCTCACTAAAGCGTGGAAAATAGCCAGAGCACTCTCTGCGGAAAAAGTGCCGACACACCCTACTGCTGGACTCGCCATTTCTCTAGAGCTAACACTAGAGGCGACTGCAGAGCTCCTTGCCGACGAATTTTCTAGAAATATCCCGTCACCTGCGGGGTATCGTCCCTTCACCATCTCACCCCCGGATGGCCCTCCTCCTATTTATTTTGACACGGATTTTACAGTTGACGAGCTGAAGGCAGCCCTTGTGCAATGCACGCGCCGCAGTGCTCCAGGACCAGACGGTGTCACGTATCAAGCCCTACGCAACATCGACGAGTGTCGTTACCCTAATCTTCTTCAGACGTTCAATCACGTGTGGCAAACTTCAGAGATTCCCGATGCCTGGAAGCTCTCGCACGTGATACCAATACCCAAGTCTGGCAAACCGCTCACGTCACCCGAGTCGTATAGACCAATTTCACTGACCAGCTGCGTTGGAAAGCTTCTCGAAAGGCTAGTCCTCGGGCGCCTAAATTGGCATCTGGACGCAACACAGGCTCTACCTGGTCAACTTTCTGGATTCAGAAGACACCGCTGCACAGCGGATGCTATCTGCAATATTGTATCTGCACTGGAAGAGGCCCGCGCGACCCGCCAAGTGATGTACTGCGTGTTTTTGGACATACGCAAAGCATTTGATGCTTTACCTCATGACACAATTCTTCACCAACTCAGCAATTTTGGAATATCAGGCCGGGCTTATAACTACATCCGCGCCTTCCTTCAAAACCGATCATTTGTCGTCAGGGTCCCCAATGCCACGAGTACCCCAAGACATGTCACACAGGGAGTACCGCAGGGGAGTGTGATTAGCCCGTTTCTCTTTAACTTGGCGATGGCGTCCCTTCCTGGAGTCATACCACAAACAGACAACCCTCTGGATCCGCGCGTCAATATTGCAATATATGCAGACGATGTGGCAATATGGGCGGTAGGAACCACAGATAAGGCAAAACTCACCGGCCAAACTTTGCAGGTAGCGCTGGACAAAACGGTGGCAGAAATTTCGTGCCTTGGACTGACCCTATCCGCACAAAAATCAACCCTGCTTTTCAGCCACCCTACCTATGCACGACAGACTCATCGTATCCTTATTGAAGGCACTGAGGTGACAAGAGAGAAAACGCACCTCTACCTTGGGCGTCTTATTGATGAGACGGGGAGTTGGCGACCAGCAGTAAAACGACTTCTCATGCAGTGCCGGAAACTACTAGGCCTACTGAGAAAATTCCGTGCCCACAGTCAGCAGGGCCTTCCTCCCAACGGGTTGCTCACCCTCTACAAAGGCCTTATAAAGTCGAAGTTTCTCTATTTGCTACCTCTTGCAAACATCCGCGGTCCACAGAGAGACCAGCTGGAAAGGTTTCACAGAGTTGCATTACGCCTCTGTTTGGGATTACCCTCCAACTCCCCGAATCTCTTAGAGGCAAGAGAACAACCGCTATTCCTCAAGGGAGAGGAGAGCAGCAAAAGGCACCTAATTCGCATTCATGTAGCGCTATCTACTGATTATCTTCTGATGAATCTCCACTCGAGGTCCTCGTCACACTTCGGCCGAATCGCTGCAGAGTTCACGAATGAGATCGGTGACCCTGGACCTCGGTTCCCCATCCGCCCACCCCACTCGACAGAACCACCTCTCAACGTGCAGGGATCACTCCCCGACGTCCGGGCGAGAAAAGACGTTCATCCAGTTGTCGCACGCACTGCTGTAGCAGTAGCACTAGAGAAGTACGTCAGCAGCCTTGAAATATATACAGATGGTTTCGTAAATAAAAGCGCAGGTACGGCAACCGCCGCTTACGTGATTCCATCCATTGGGAAAGAATACGCCGTCCGTATAAACCTTGAAACATCGTCCACGACTGCGGAAATGGTCGCTATACTCTTGGCCTTGGAATACCTTAGGACCACCGAGTGGATGACCGCTGCGGTAATATTAACGGACTCCCGCACGGCCCTGCGCAATTTAGCAAATGCCGGCGAGGGATCACTGCTCGCTCAAGAAACAGCTCATCTTGCAACGACACTACAAGAACGCGGGTGGACGTTAGCATTTCAGTGGGTCCCGGCGCACTCAGGAATTGTGGGTAATGAGCGCGCCGACACCCTAGCCAAGAACGCACACGCTCTACCCTCACCTACTTACCACCTCCGACCCTTTCATGAAGCGAGACTTCTTATTGCCAGAAATATCAGGAGTCGGCACCCAGACCCATCTACAGCGCGAGGCACACCCCCCATCCCAGTCCCTGATTCCAGACTGACAAGGGCAGACGCATCGCTACTCCATCGACTCCGGACAGGGAGTGCGTTTACGAGGCTAGCACTTCATCGCTACGGCCGAGCCGGCAGAGTTGACAGCCCGGAGTGCACAGTGTGTGGGGACCCTGAGGACATCACCCATATACTCCTCATCTGCCCAAAATACGACGCAGCAAGGAAGGTGCTCTTCGCCACTGTCCTAAAAGCAGGAGGACAAACGGCTACAACCACGTGTCTCCTTTTTCCCACTGGTAGCAGGCGGCAAGCATGGAGCATTTTCCGTGCCTCGCTAGAGCTTCTCCACCAGACGGAGCTTGCCGAGCGCCTGTGACCCCTGCATGTCTTCTCCTCACACTCCTATCGCGCCCATCACCCCCCCCCCCCCCCCTTCCCCGTCTCCCTTCCCAACCTTTAAATCCGCCTGGAACTTTGAACTTGTGATTCCTCTTTAATACCCTATCCCACTTTTAATCCCTCATCCCTTTGTTCATGCGAGTCTTCTCCCCTATTAGGGTGAATAATAGTACGCATGGACATTTACCCCCTTTTCCCGTATCTCAACACTCCCCCCCCCCCCCCCCCCCCTGTCTACTCAAATAAGGGACAGCATGAAACGCCCGTTTTCAAACCGGCAGAAAGATTTGTAGTTTTGAAAATCTGAAGTAATCGGAGAAGTAACGGTTACTTATTTAAGTAACGTTCGATTCCCCTGTTAAGTAATTAAATAATCTAATTGACTACTTTTTAACCCAGAGTAATGGTAATTGCCATCGGTTAGTTCTTTCGAGTAACGTGTACAAGACTTCATATGAACCAATACCTGAATCTCGCGGTGCATCGAAATGGTACGTTTCGTGTTCCGGGGCGTTTCTAATTTATCTAGTCGGAAATAATGAGGTTCACTGCTCTCCACAAGCGTTTACATTTGTAACGACGAAGCATTACAAGGACTGATTAGCAGAGGAGATGAGCTTGTGAATTGACAGGTGGCAAATACGCACTCAGCTTCTGGCCGGTGTATTTTGAGCGTTCGTGCGTATGGCGCCTGCTTTGCTCGTTTTCCGAAGTGACGAACATGCGCATGCATATATCTGTGGAGATCGCGTGCTGGAATTTGATGATTCGGTAAAGATTGTATTGGTGTACTGGGTACCAATATCGGGTAGCGTTATCGGTGTGCGGGACCAATGTACTTATCCCCAACTCTGATGGCTGGAACCGCCAAAATGCTGTTCCAAAATGAGACGGTTCTTTTAGTGCGACACTGATCGTGCTTTTCACTTCGCCACCTCTCACAGGGAGTGCAAGACGATCTCGAGGAACAAGAGTTGGAAGAGCCAGATGATGGGGCAGAAGGACGGATCGTCAACTGCAAAGCAGAGGGCTGCAATAGTTATGGCTTTGTGGACAAATCAGCGACTGTTTCTCAGTGCTTCACTTGCGACCGCTGGACGTGCATAAGATGCAACGAATGTCACGAGTCTAATCCCTGCCCGCAATACAAGCCTGTTGATGACGACGAGTACAAAGAAGCGGTGGAGGAGGTATGTGCTCTGTATTAATAGGCGGCCATGACATTAAATAATGTTGCTTTCTCAAAAAAAAAAAAAAAAAAAAAAAAAAAAAAAACGGGTACTATTTTGCATCTAAATTCTCCATGTTCTGCTTTCAAGCAATCGAGGGGCGATGTTGCGGGTCCTTCCGAAGAAGCTGAACAGAACGTCGGACATGATGGCAGATCGGAAAAGCAGGCGGGAAAGATTCAACGCCTGAAGGATACATTCAATGCATTCGTGAGTGAAGGAATAAATTGCCCTAAATATTGATTTTCAGTCTAGCAAGAGCACCAGATTTGTTTTTACCAAAGCTCTCCCTTACAAGTTATTCCAATAAAATCATAAAGGCTATCTTTGTCAGTATGCCCCCTCCCCCCCCCCCCCCCCCAAATAAGAAAAAAAAAAAAGTCCATTAAAAACTTGTCGCGATGAAGAAAACGAATATTTTGGCTAACCTTAGCAACCTAAACTTTGTAATCGATTTGAAGCTGTTAGTCGATAAGAACTTCGTCATATCGCGACGAAAACCCGCGCAGAACTTTAAATCATAAAACATGCAAACAGGGGTGGGCACATATGTTTTGCCAGTCAGTTTGTCAATGCGTTATTCGTTAAAACACTGCAATTTAATTTGACTTTTTTTTTTCAGTTTTCTTCAGGTGGAGCTGGGCGAGATCCACAGAGAAAGCCTAACACGGTGGATGCCGACAGTGACATTGTCAGTCCTGGTCTCGAGAGCATGCGAACTAGAGCTCAACAAAGGACATCTTATGCTTCCGCTGCACGAAAGGCCATGAGCCCGCAGAAGGCTGAGGTTGGTTTCCCCGTCTTTGGTTCTAGAAACTCGGGAAACGTGCCTCGCGGTGCGTCCCGTGGGACGCGCTTCCCATGGCGCACGATGCCACTTTTAGAAGAGGAAGCGAACTGTCCAAGGCGCCAGAAAACTGCTCTGCATATTGGTTAGGCAAAATAACTCTAAGTATCTGCTATCGCAGAATTTGATCTTAAATCGATCGGTCGTGCACGCTTCAACTAGCGCTCTGATGGAACTGGTATACTCTATAGAGTCACTGGACCCTGGAAAGTAGCGCCATTGCCTTCTCGGCCTGCTAGCCGAACGCAAGCAAATACTAAAATACTACCGAAGCCTTGCAAGGCGATTGGCTAATCGGTCTACGTTGCTATGGCAATCGTAATTTAATCGGCCCCTTTAAATCTTCGAAGCTTCGAGAGGGCCGTTCTAATCTAGTCGCACCAAGATCACCATGGAGCATAATCGTACTGAAGGCATTCCTTGCCAATATAAGCGTATTCGGCACTATGTTTGCAATAAACTTGCGAGTCATGCCCATCGCCGCGAATCTTTTACAATTATATTGTTCTTCTTGCGTATTTCAAAGGAGAAAAATTATTTTTAATGCCTCCAAGCACAGACACTGCATGTGGTGGTGGTACGAATATGTACGGGTGTTTCGCCGGTGTGTGGATAGCAATACAAGAAGCGTTTCTATAAAGCTACCCGTCACCAGCGAATTTAGATCGGCTAACCATGAATGGAGAGGTCGAGGAAAAATTGTCCATTTCATGAGTCAAAATGGCGACCATACGGGGAGCTTGGCACTACTTTTCCCACGATACAGTTATTTTGAGTATGCTGTAGCGAATGATGCTGCCAAAGGCTGAGACGTGAAAACCCAGCTCTGCATAAATCCTTCGTTCACACGCGCGAGGGCAGCTCTCTCTCTGTAGCCACGAACAGAGCCGTTTATAGAGAGTTTGGTCTTTGGGAGGAACGGGCAGAGCCAGGTCGTGCACGAGACGCAGATAGAAGGCGTGACGTGCTGTCTTGGCCAACCAGAAGCCGAACATAATCCCCTCGCGATGGTAGCGAGAAACAGTTTTGATAAGCGCGTAAAAGTTAAATGCAGTAACTCTCTATGGTTGAAAATATGGTGCACGTGATGTTTCAAATATAATTGTGAAAAAAGATGTAAGAATCGAATGTGCCGCTCGAACTCTGTTTTGCTCGGGCCGAGTCTGACCGCTGCGACGGCAGATTCCCGGCCCTCGGTGCCTGGCTTGAGGATTGCGTTGATCGTTCTGCTAGATTTTCATTTTGCGGGACCGTGATCGAAAAATGACGTGCACCATATTTTCAGTCACCAAGAGTTTCTCCGACGCACTTGTTAAATTTGTTTCTTGCGATCACCGCCAGGGTGTTGCTTGCGGTTTCTTGCTGGCCACATTCGAATTTGTGAAGACGCCCTGGAACACGGCCAGCCCGCTTTCGACCAATGGCTCCTCCTCGTTTGCCTCCTATACTTCCCAATGTATGGCCAAACTCTATATACGGCTCTGGCCACGAATATGGTCAGCCACGAATAGACAGACCACACTAAGCGTTCCTCTCATGCGTGACGCCGTCATAACTGTAGTTCACACGAGTCAGATGCAGCAGTGCACGAGGCAGGCACGTAACAAGGGGGGGGGGGGGGGGGCATGGGGCCCGCCCCCCCCCCCCCCCCCCCCGAAATCTTTCATTTTGCTGGGACCTCCTCTCCCCCCTTCCCCTCATACAGCACTTTGTCATGAGCGGCCCCCCCCCCCCCCCCCCCCCCCGAAACAAAATCCTGGCTACGTGCCTGGCACGAGGTAGCTGTTCTGCTCGCGCAGACCTCCAGCGTGGTTGTCGTGCGTGCAGAAAGATTAGTTCCCACGATGCATGCCGGCAGCGGTCGAGCAACAAAACTGGCTTGTGAGATTGGTGTATTGGCTTCAGTGCCTCACGCAACACTGCACACGTCTCATGAGATGGAGTGGACTGCCTGTCGGCATGGCGTACCGCGAGCGCTACGCAAAGAACGACACTAAGGCACCCTACCTAGCCTTTGCGTTTTTCAGCGTTCGCGAGTGCTTTGCTCGATTTCCCTGAGCGACGGACTCGCATGTGTTGTGTTATGGGTTTTTGCACGCTGAAGTACGGAGTGGTAAACAGTGCCGGCTTGAAACCGACGGCGTCTGGTGATTAGTCCACAAAATTTGTGGAGGTACGAGGGGTGATTAGAAAGTTTGACTACTCGCATATAAAAAAGACTGACAGGGCTTTAAAAAAAGAATATTTTTCAACAGAATCTACGTTCACACTAATGCACTTCTCCCATTTGCACAAAAAGCTTCTAATAACTTGCAAAAAAAATCCTGCGCTTCAAGTTACTGCTTTGTGGCAGTTTACAGTGCGTTCAAGTAATCGAAAATTGTTCCCTTGAGATGTTTCTTCAGACTCAGGAATTTAAAAAGAGCCACCAGTGGCCAGATTGTGACTGTATGGTGGGCGGTCATGTTCTTTGAGACCACACTGTCGAGTGACAGCCTGGGCAATATGAAACTTGGGAACGGGGACATCGTCACGCAGGAGAACATGTCACTAATCCTCGTCGTTTTTCCACGGTGGCCTAACGCACTTTGGGGATAACGTTAGTATAATCCGAGAAAATATAGTAAGGGTGCAGGCGAGCTGGTGAATATTCACTATGTTGAGTTAACTTGAGACTGGGGTAGAAGTGAAACATCAAACGCAGAAGGAGCAGAATGTAGACAGGACGACGTCTCAAAATCGGCTAACTCGTTTATTTAGTCCACCTCTTTATAAAGTATCAAACTCAAGGTCTTCACCACCAACACAGGACGAAGTCTATACAAGCGCCACAGTCTCCATTACACAATGTAAGAATGGGGACTACCTTACAGGTCGACACGCTTAGGCAACAGGAGGAAGGAGGATGGGTGTTACCTTAGTGTGTCGACCTATAAGGTTGTTCCAATTCTTGCATTGTATGATGAAGACTGTGGCTATTAAATGTTTTAGAGTTCGTCCTTCTGTATTGGTAGTAATGACCCTTAGCGTGAGAAGATCTAAAGAGGTGCATGGTCTAAATAAACGTGTTAGCAGAGTTTGGGACGTCGTCCTGTCTATTTTCTGTCCCATCTAGTACGTTTTTATGTTTCTCTTCTACCCCAGTCTCAGGTTAATTTAACATGGTTAGCATAATATTTACCTTGTCATGCTGTTTTCGAAATAATCAACCAGGAGGATCCTCTTCGTGCCACAAAAAGACTCCATCATCTTTCCCCAAAGCGTTGCGTCTTGCGTTCTTTCGGAGGGGGGGGGGGGGAGTGACTCTATTACATAGACTGTTGTATTGTTTATAAGTCCCACTGGTAAAGCAATGTCTCGTCTTTGTTCACAAAGCCGCCTCGGTGGCTCCGAGGCGAGAGCGCCGGCCTACGGATCCCCAGGTGGCGGGTTCGAATCCCGACCGAGGTGCCCGCAATATGACGGAGGCTTATTGCGGAGAAGGCGCCGTGTAACCGAGCTTTCGGTTGCACGTCAAAAGATCCCCAGGTGGTCGAAATTAATCCTCAGTCCTCCGCTGGGAGACTTCGCTCAACCTCCGTCGAGAACGGACGTGCTCTTGGAGCTCTCCGTCCTCGCCGAGTTCCCCCGCTCCGAAACGCGAGCCTCCAGTATAAACATCGAGAGGCCCGCTCCCCGGTCGGCGGCCCCCGATTTCGCCTCGCCGAGCCTGGAAGCCCGAGATTCCTACCCCACATGGGTGGGGCCGACACCAAACGGCTGCCTACGATGAACGGCATCCATTGAGACCACACAAGTCCACAAGTCCCGGTGAGCCCACCACTTTTAACATTATCAGACTCCTAAGACACAAACCGAAGCCCGCCCAGCTAAGCCAAACGACGAGCACGGCGGCCGGCGCCGCCCGCGCCATCAGAGCGCAGCTCTCGACCCGGCAACAGGCGGACGCTTGCCCCTAACCATCATGGAAAGTAGTCAAGCATCATCCCAGCGCCAACCGACCAACCGAGATGAAAATGAACGCGCGGCCGATCTCAATGGGAACCCCAACCCAAACAACGACGAGTCACCCAGTAAAGATGCCTCGCATCAACAACAGGAGGAAACAAATAACTTCTCTTGGACGGACGTAGTCGGCAGGCGAGCCCGAAGACAACAACTTCAATCCGAGAGGGAAAAGGCCGCTGCTGCCGAGAAAGCACCCAACCACTCCTCAAATCCCCGTAGGAGAGCAGGTGATCCCGGCTCCCCCTACACTCAGGAGAACCGGAGCCGCCGAGCACAAACACAAACGCTGCACCAAAAAAGGCTACCACCCCTCCCGATCGACGACTACAAAGTGGTCATCCGGCCGAGAGACGGTCTCAACCTCGGAGCCTGGAGTACGGACAAGCTCACACGAGCCATCCTCGTGGCATCTAAACTCTCGTCCACCGAAACGTCCGATATCACTATAAGAATCCGCCGTGACCAGAACCTGGCGATCATCAGCACCCCAAGACTAGAGACATCCTCCCGCATACAAGCAATCTCGGCGCTAACTCTCGAAACCAGGCAATACGAAGTCACAGCATACCTGGCAGTCCCCGACAATTCATGCAGAGGCATCATCTCCGGTGTAGACACCAGACCGACAGCCGAGACACTCACTGAGGAATTACGTGCCCCCGGGACCAACATCTTGTACGCCAGAATGATGGGACAGACTAACACTGCCATCATCACATTTGAGGGACTCAAGGTACCCCACTACGTGTACCTATCGGGCGGTGAATACCCATGCAGACCCTACCAACCAAGAAAACAAATATGCGGCGTTTGCCTGGGCCTAGGACATCGCACCGACGTGTGCCCGCAACCGGAGAAGAGCCGATGCACCACCTGCGGAACACCTGGCGGTGCCATGGAAGATCACCAGTGCCAACCCTACTGCATAAATT